GCCCACGGCAGGGGGTTTGGAACCAGATGATCTTTCAGGTCCCTTCCAACCGAAACCATTCTATGATTCTATGATTCTACTATCAACACAGTAGGAAAAGCATCTACAACTAATTCCCAGTCTCCCTTAATATACAAATGTAACATATAAATTTCTGCACCCATAAAATGCATATTTGCAAGCCTGTTTATGCACAGATTTTTGCAAAACTGTATTAGTTGATCCAATTTCTTCTACCATGTCTGGAGAACTGCAGTCTGTTACCCCAACATGAATTGCAGCAGCTCCCCAGAGGCAGGCCAGCAAGTACAGTAAGAGAAGGCTACCAGCTGGGTTTTTACGAAAGGAATACCTGCACAGTGTTTCACATATGCTTTGCATTTTCTAAATTGGCAAAAACATTCCCTACTCCTTCCTGTATTGTAAAATCCCACATAAATGGTGAAATCCCGTTTTAATGAAGCATCTCTGAATATATCAAACTATAGATGACAGATTGATGTGTTGTGTTAACTGCTGTTAATTGACAGTAAGCAACCAGCTTTTGTGAAACAGTACAACTTTCGAGACCTCATACAGTTTTCTAATAGTGCTTCCATGAAAAAAAAATTGCTTCTAATGAACTTATTTTGAACTACTGTACATGGAAATAAAAAAATTAGAAAAAAAGGTTGACCACCTGAATTACAATAAAAGCAATACTTTAATGAAAGGTTCACACATGTTTTTTAATGTGACCCAAACTCAGAACGAGACTGACACAGATCACATTTCCACGTAAAAAACCATGAAATTTTGGATTTTCAGCTGCTTTCAGTGTGTGGTATGAGACAAGTAAAGACACTCAGCACCTTTTGCCACTGAAAGCAATGTCCAGTGTCCCAGTGGAGCAGGACGTGACCCAAAGAATAGTTTTATTTTGAAAAAGACATGTAAAACCCACATTTTTTCCATACCTTCTGTGTGCTTTTTTACATTACCGACAAATCCCTTTTTTTCCTACCCCATTTCTTCTGTCAGCTCTGAATCCCCCACTGGATTAACAGGGAGCAACCTGGACTTTTGCTTCCCTTCTTGCTGATGACAAAACGGCTTACAGCCCAAACCCTGGTCAGATCGTTACGGTGTGAAACATGCCACAGTCAGCACTTTCACTACTCCCGATGACGACCCATGGTGCAGAAAAAGTCCAAACTGACACTCAAGATGTTGCTGGTACAAATCCCATTTTAAATGACTCGTACAATCAAGTTCATATTGCAAAGCACATTTTCTTTAATGAACCAAAAATAATTTCAGCAACACCAGTGCTCCCTTACACCTGTGAAAAGCAAGACAGTAGTAAAATGATCTCTACTATTTTTCCCTTTCTGCATAGTCTTCTGTGTAGAGGTGGGAAAGCCTTTCAGCCAGAAAACCAAGTATGCCGATTAACACTGTACTTACCACTCCAACAGGGAAAGCTAAAACAGCCATCACCCAGTCACGGAGGGAAATGAGTTTTTTCAGCTGCCTCTCTTGCTCTTGACTGTCATTTCCTTTAGTGAGAAGACTCGACAGGTCAGTCAAGACGCAGATCCCGAAGAAGACAGCCTGGATAACCTGCACGGAAGCAGAACACACTCTTGAACACAGAGAAGACCAGACCTTTGGCAGAGAGCAGGCTGGACACAAGTGCATGTGAGGAGTATTGCCACGGAATTGACATGGGGAATGGGAAAACATCAGTCCCTTAAATATGGGTAGAGTTTGTTCACACAAAAGCCACTTGTGCTTCTAGACTGAAAGCCCTATATGCACCTTGCTCCTCATGTATGGGGGGAGTCGATGTGAATGGAAGGACGGTTCCAGAGGCGGGAATGCCCACCCTCACCTCACATGTGCCACCTGCCGGGGACTGAACGGCAGCCACCCCTTCTGCCTTCACACAACTCAGCCCCAAAGCCACAGAATTCACCTCTGAGGCGGAAAAAGTGAGGAATGCACCCTCTAAAAAGACAAGAAAGAAAAAAGATGAGCGGTTCTTTCCCTTGGGCCAGGAGGTCTCCCTTGAAGACCCTGCCTGCCCCAGACATTCCACGCAAGGGCGAAGTTGGTGCCTGAGACTTCCTGAGAGATGCAGCACACAGGCTGGGCTTCGGCGTATTGATCACTACTGCATCTCGGGTGGCGAATGACAGAACCAGCAAGCTGCAGGAGCTATTCAAGCTTTCTTTGTGTGGTGGTGGATGGTCATTTACCTGCCTTTTCCTTTTTTGCCTTTACAAATTTGTGTGTGCAATATTGTAACATTATCTGTCATATTAAATTGGTAGTTTATCACCTGAACCCACTGATTTGGTTCAAACTTGACTTGATTTTAGTTTGATCACTGCATATTTCTTCCTTCATTAGCTGAGTAAAATTGTAGTAAGTTAGCTCAGGAATGCTCTTGCCCAAGGACCTGCGTGTCCTTTCTACTACAGCTCGGAGGAAATGCACACAGACTGCTCACTCCCCAAGCTGGAAGCCTGGGTCACAAACCCACACGCATCAGGTGATCTCAGGTAAAAAAATAACAAAACATGGGCTTGGTTCCCAAATTGCACAGTGATTCATCAAAAAAACATAAACATATGCTTAAAATACATACTACACATTTTTCAAAGCTGTAAGCATGGAGTACTAGTTTAGAAGCCTTATTTGTAAATCTACGTGTTCCTCTGACTAAACAGCAGACCGTCCACAAGAAGTAAGAATAGCACATACCCAGATTTTGCAAAATACAATTTACTATGTGCATACATCTCTGCAGAATGTAGACTATAATAATTAATGTAAGAAACCACCTTAGGCTAGGGGACACTGATCTGGAATATGGTAGGGAAGGGGGGGAGGGAGGGAGGGACAGACAGACAGAAGGAAGGACGGAAGGAAAGGAAATACCAAACAGATGTTTGGTACTAGAAAGAAATCCAGAGATGTGTAATGGTTGGATGTATTAAAATACATTCTTTTCCTCAACAATCCTTATATGACCCAAATACTTGTAAATTCTGGCTGTTAAAGCTGTGAACGACAGACGTTCAAATGGCCCCCGGATCTGCTTGCAATTCTGCTGCCACTGCTCTCCCCTCTCCAGGCTGTAGCTACACACAATTTGCTTGATAAATAGATGAAGCAACATTGCAAAACATTCCCTGAAGCCATAAAATGTGACAGACTAATAGTGCTGGAGCTGTATATTGTGCTAGAAGAAGGTATTACTACTTCAGGTGACTGCCTGGAAAAGTTACCATCTTCTACATAATTTCTGAAAAACATATTATATAAAAGTTGGGGCTCCTTGGAGCTACATAATCACACAAACTCCTAATGCCCTTTTCATGTTACTTGTTTGAAACAAGCACTTAGTAGGAAAATGTCTTCCCATACTCAGCCCTGTTTTCCACCAAACAGATGGCCTATTGGGAGAGAAGGAACAGAAGAACTAATTATGCATTTGCTTGACTTAAGAGGACATAGGATACCATCTAATATTCACTTCAGAGTGTGAATGCCAAAGAAGGAAAAAGATTTCAGACAGGACTGGAAAAAAAAGTATACCTAATAGTAATGAGATCAATCTGGGTGTTCAAAAGTTTAGGCTGAGTACCAGGAAATATTTCCTAACAGCGAGCTTTGTCAGATCATGAAATAGTTTCTCAGAGGAAGTGGTGGAAGCCTCATGGCTTGAGTCACTCAAACCGATATTGGACAAAACATTCAATAATGTACTGCAGGGAACAGTATCACACTGACAGGGCTTGGACGAGTGACTAATGGATTGTTTGCAGCTCTAACTACGATTCCCTGAAACGGTCTCTCTCCAAAGAAACACAGACTCAAACAATCACACACCCACTTTCCAAGGGAATTGAAATTGTACATCCACTAATCAATCACAAACCAAAAAGCTTCTCTCCCCATTATCCTGTTATGAACACACCACTTCAAGGGAAAATATAATGATATCATCGGGAATAACTGAAAACTCCTAAAGGGAAAGAAAGTACTCAACGATTTCAGGGAGTAGGTATGAAGTAAGCTATTCTACAAAAAGATTAACAAATGAAAATCCATATGGGAAAGAGAAAATTACATATTTATTGAGAACATTCAGAGCCAGTGAAAAAATCATACAGTGTTCAGGGAGGAACAGTTCCAGCTTATTCATACAAATAATGTACGTACGTTCGCTCTAATACTGCCTTTCCTTCCTAGAATGTGCAAGAAAACTCTTCTGACACCTATCAACATTTAGGACTAGACTGAGGACCTCCAGAGCTGCATGAATCTCAGCAGCATAAGCTGAACAGCCAGAGTCAGTAACAAGTTACATCCTTTGTGGGTCTGGCACAGGAAAAGAGTAGCATGCAGCTACTGGGGGTTTATGGTATGAAACCAATTTTTAAAGTCCATGCTCCTCAGTGTGAATGCTGCTTAACAGATGTGAAAAGTTCACAGCAAGGGAGCAGAAACTCTCTCTAAACAATATTCTCCAAAGTGCTCTGGTGTTACCTCAGATTTCAGATCACATTTGCAAAACAAGGACCTTCTTTTGAAAATCTGCAGGTGTTGAATCTATACACGAAACATCCCCAAGATGTTAAACAAACAGTTGACTTTTCTTTTTTTACCCCCCTTGGAAATGTAAGCAATAACAGCACTTCAGAGGAAATATCTTCCAATTTTGCCTCTAACTAGAGTTTGAAGGAAAACAGTGATTTAGAAAATGACAAATACAAATTTGACAGAAAACATTTATACCTTCCTTAAACCATGTCACAGTGATAGAGGCAGAAACATGGAAGTAGAGCATGTAAAACCAAAAAAATCATTAAAACAGGTATAAAATACCAACTTACTGCTGGCCCCTTGTTCTCCATTGAAGCCTAGAGGGGCTATTGCTACTGTAGTTGATACTACAGTACACTTAAGCTGTGATAACGTAATGACAAGCAATGGAAATGGCCATCTACAGGTATTTTAGTAATACAAAACTCTGAGCGGAGAAAATACTTGCTAAGTTGCTGCAGGAGAAAACTGCTATGAACAGAAGATGAAACCAAGCAGCCCACAAACCTCAAACAGTGAGATCAATTCAGATTATGTATCAGAAAATACAGCTTTTATTGTTTCTTATGAACAATTAGAATAAAGTAAACTAATTGTGCACGTCTGTCTCCTGTGAGAAAATAAAGTATTGCTTCAGC